CTCTGCTACGCGAGCTTTCGTGATGAGCCGGGGCTTCTGGCGCCATGTATCGCGGGGAGCCTCCATTGCCGCCCTCTTTCAGAGTAATGTGAGTCTTCTCCATCGACCTGGCCAGTCGGAAAGCTGCGGCAACGTGGCTTGCTTGCTGCTACACCTGCGCATGTGAAGTTCAAGATCCCAGCTGAGTCAAGCCGAAATCACAGATCTTGGCGTTATAGATTCGGTCCAGCACAATGTTGAGCCTAACAGACATGTCCCAAGCCTTAAAGGCACAGCTGGCATAGGTTTCAAACACTACCTCATCCCAGATTCCACATCGCACAAGTTATACTCCTTGTAAGGACATTACGATTTGAGGTCCCGGTGCACCACAGGAGGTGCGTGGCCGTGAAGAAAATCGACACCCTCACAAACCTTGTTGCAGGCTGCGCACATACAGCGAGATCATCACAAACAACAACAAACTGGACTTACATGAAGCGTTTTGGATCCCGCAGCCTGAATTGCGATTTTGGATTGTGTCCCCAACGTCAGCGGAGTACGGGCCTGGACACTCCGTGATCGGGACAGCTGACAGAAACTTCAGGCATCTTCACACACACACACACACACCGACCTTGTGCAGGAGATGGTGCAATGATCCGCCCGGCATGAACCTTTCCCGACGCATGCAATACGCTGAAAGATGAAGAAGGCTTGCAAGCATGTTCAAGCCGACTCGTGTAACATATTGGTCCAAGCAGGCACTCGCTTTTGCCTTGGGCAAATTTGACGAAATTCAGATGCAGTGCTCCGACCCTTCGGGTGCGGATGTTGCATCAAAGGCCACCACTAGCTGCGCAGGCCTGCACAGGCCTGCGAAGCCTGGAGAACTGCATTAACCGATCACAGACTGATCAACTCGATGTCATCTTGTTCACTGCTGACATTGTCGATGCAATGTAAACAGGAGGGACAGTTCCGGGCCACGCTGCGTGCCAGCCACTCGTCAATGCAGAAAGCGTGGTACTTGCAGGGCAGGCAGCAGTGCATGCAGTCTGGATCAAGGCAAAACCAGACGACGCTGTGACAATACTGTTGCACAAGATGCTACTGGAAAAATGACATCTAGTAGCGGTTCGTCTTGCTGCGACGCGCACCTTCGTCTGCAGCAGAAACAATACAACACGATTCTCGCTAAAGCTTCCAGCATGCAAAGGGCTCCTTGAGAACCAGCCACAGCAAAGAAAACACTCCCCTCGGTCTGCGAGTTTCTGGTGCAAGGCTTTGCCAGAAAGAAGCTGGACCCCCCCTTACCTTGACTCAGTCTATGTAAACCTAGCTACTTGCCAAGAATCCGGTGTCTATACCTCAACCTTCGAGTCCGGCGCATACAAGCACTCAACAGAGTGACAACATCATATGGCATGGCATGACACAACCATCATCCAGCCGACACCCAAAAGGACACCAGAAGGGCTGAGTACTGCTTTTGTCACCTTGTTGCATCGCATCTTCAGTGCTGCTAAAGAGCGAACGATAAACACCCACAAAAAGCACAGCTCCTTGTGCAAGCATGGCAGAACACGGAGCTGATCCCCTTGCTGAAAATCTTCGCGGCAGATGCTGCATTCCTTGCTGCACTTACCACTCGTGAAGTCTTTAGGACTCAATGACAACATGTTCGATGCCTGCTGCTGGACTTCCTCACTCACAATCGTCGAAAGATTAGAAAGGCATGCTGCGGGAGTGGAGATAGGAAGATCCAGGAACCATTGCTGCGAGCGGCGGTGTCACTAAGATGCTTCGACGCATCGAAGAAGATCGTCACCATCCTGGATGGGCACTCCTAGGCTTTCACAGTGCTACATCTTGGCGGCCAGTCCTGTCTGCAGCACTTGGTGGCACAGGAAGGCGGCCTCGACCTGCTGCGGAGCTTTGCAAAGACTGAACAAGTCAGCACAAAGGCTGCCACCATCGCGCATACCATACGGCGTGCGGCCGAAGTTGTTCCGCAGACACGGGTTTGCTCGGAATTTCCTGAGCAGACAGCAATCCTGGAATCGATGTTGTTGTCTGCATGTAGCTCAACTGCTGCAATCTGTTGCATCTTTGCCATGGACTGGAGCACAGAAACGCAGACATCTGGTTCTGACGACTGCGTGGGGGTCTGCTTTTCTTCAATCTTCTTTCAACCGACAGGTCAATTTTAGAAAGCCACGAAGCAGCTGGGAGGAGCAAGGACGATGAAGTATGTGTTTAGAGCGGCCGTGTTTCGGCCCGACCTCCCTCCTTCCAGAGAACACGAAGGTCACTCTTGCTCTTCTGCATGGCGGGGCACCACAGGTTCTCGGAGTGCGCTGCAAATTGCGGCTCAGACTCAGCAACAGTTGTGCCGATTCTGCGCGATCCAAGTCCACAGCGAGATGCAATGGCGTGCTGCCTTGTGCAGCCGGCACTGGGATCGGGAGTTTCGTCAGCAGAGTAATCAGAGTACGCAGAAAGATCATCTCCTCTCTGGCTCCATTAAGCTCTCAGATTTGCGCGATGCGGGAATGCACAAATAACACGGGGTAACCAATGATTCGCACGGACTCTCTCACAGCTCACATTAGCGTTAGAAAACAGGATGTGGATGGATGGCAAAGAAGTTGACATTGGCGGAAGGCTGCAGAAGGTCTTGTAAGCAGACAGGCCGAGGACAATTTTTTTAGGTTGGCGGCCTCGAGAGCCAAGAACCGCTCCACTCACGATTTGATCTGGCAGACTCTTGCAGACTCGACTGACAGAGCCGGCACAGTAGATGTGAAAGAGCTGCCTAAGCTCGGTGGTTGTGCTGGCAGCTAGCACTTTATCCTGAAAGTGGCATTGGCCTGCCTGCACGGACCCAAGATGCGAACGTGTCTGAAGCCCGAGAAAAAACCGCGAATGCGCGGGCGGGTTATGTCACACGGGGCCTTGATCATTCGTCACGTTGGGATTGATTCCTGAGTGTCAACACAGGTGCGGTGCGCATTTCGCTGCAGTGGAAGATGTCGAAGCCAGTCTGCATCAGGGCTCTAGTCTCTAGCAACAGCATCAAGATGTCCGTGTGGCCATGCAGCGCAGCCAGGTGCAAAGCCGACCTTGCGACTGTCCCCACGAAGCTACGAGCAAGACAAAAGCAGGGCACGTCGATGAAAAATCATGCAGAGGTCGGATGGTCGGCCTAAAGAGTGAAGTTTCTCAGCACGGGGCTGTGCAACACGAATGTCCTCACCGGTCTCACTGAATTCGCAGCTGCCCACAGCTGCGAAGAGAGCGCTCTCGGCCGTTCTTGGCAGCAACGTGCAAATTGCATGGGCAAGAACTGGACTCTCGCTCGCCTTGATTCCCTTAGCTTCGCGATGCTTGGTGTCGCACTCACCCGGGAGGGGCAGCTGCTGGGACTTGCATCGCAGCCAGCGCTTGACGCTTCCCAGATCCGCCTGCTTCACCAGTGCCTGGAGGCACACCTGCAGGAGCGACTTCGAATATCTTTGTTTTGGCTCCGGTGCGTTGTGGCTGCACCAGTCTGAGCCTCTGTGAGAAAGGCATCATCAGACATCTGGCTATACGATGTTCGCGACGACATGCTGGCTGATGGCTGATGCTTGCTTTCTGACTTCCTCTCGCCGACCTTATGCGAGCTTCGCGGCACGGAAGAGTGTACAGCAGTCATCGCAGTTAAATGGTACAGTAATCAGCAATCAAAAGAGCATCAGTAGGGTCACGGCAAATACCCGCGTCCAGGATGATGCAGCCTTGGATGAACCTTTACTACAATTAACATTCTCTATTCTTGAAGCCTTCCGATTCAGTGCCCAATTGCCAAATCTACCAGCAACACAGGTTTGCAGCAAGCTGCAAGTTGCTTACATGCAGACAAGGTATGGAATTTCTGTTTCAACCTGGTAGCAAGTAAAAGCTCGAGGATCCTGAAAGAGCATCCGAGCCCAACAGCCACGAAAGGATCAGACTATAGATGGCTTGCAGCAGCCACTGCAATCTTTCATGCATGGTACTATCATGATAGGCATGTGTGCAAGCAAGGGACTTCTGGCTCCTCCCTGGGCGATGCAGGTTTGTCCACGGGCAAGCTGACTTCGGGATCGACATGCCCAAAGCTGCGAACCTGTCAGTTTCCAACAGCACTGAAGCGGAGTCGTGCAAGGCTTGTGATTGTAACGCTTGTTTGGATGCATGTTGACAAACGAATCAGGGGTGCTGTCAGCAGCGCCTTCTCAGGCAAAGGGTGCGAAGCTGCTGGCGGCTCGGCTGGTAAGTTGTCCAGAGGAACTTGCTCTGCTTCGAGCATCCTGCGAGAAACGAGTTGCAAGCAGACTGTGAGCAAACAGCCTTGGTCTTATCTCTGTGAGCCTCCTGATCAACGCTTTACCGTCCGCGATGCTCTGCTCATCCCACGAATTGGTTACGGCCATCTCCTGCACGTGCAGGTTTCATTAGCTGGTGAAGAAACTCCAGCGCTCTTGAGCAAAGGTAACTCCTTCACCGACCGCCCGAAGCAGTTTCTTGTCTGGACGCAGGCACGTGCCTGCCCACGAGATGGAAACAGCGAACTGCCTGAGCCCGGCTTTGGCAGCCACCTGGAGCAAGCAGTGAACGGCTCGTGCACGGCCCAGATCTGTGGCCAAGTGCCTTAGACTCAGCAGCGTCGATCTCCATACATCAAGGCTCCTGCCTGATGGCCCAGAGGGCCCAGACAGTGGAGTGTTGCCTTGCTCATCCAAGACGTCTACAGGAGCCTTGCCAGCATCAGAAGCACAACACAGGTTAGGTTAGTTGGGTTACTGGGGCTTTGCAGTCAGCAGTTTGGGTGTTGGCCTCCTCGCGCAAGAACAATGAGATCATCTCCGCCCGCCCACGCAGCGCTGCGCGATGCAGCGCAGACTTGGCATTTCGGCCCTCGAGGGAGCACAAGGGCTAACGAGCAGACTACCGCGTGGCCAAACTCGCTGTTGCAACAGACAGCACACGCGATAGGTCCTAGGCTGTGATGAGTGTAGACATGTCTGGACCCATTCGGCACGACAATTACGGAAAAAGACATGCCGTCGAGCTGGACATGTTTAGTGCTCTTGGTGTTGCTGTTCCATCCATCTCTCTCCAATGCACATATCATGCAGGCCTCATGCTCGCACGTTGTGATCTCACTCACGACAGCCGCCTGAACAAGGCGTGAGCTTGTGTGGGAAGTGCGGTAGAAGACACAGGACTTGTTTGAATTGCCTGGCCATGAATCCTGCGAATACTGTCCAGATGACGTTTGACTGCATCAAGATCTCCATCTCCAACCAAGCTTACCAGGGATGCATCCATGGCTCAGTGAAGCGATCCATGAGTCAAATGAAACCCGTTGCAAAGGTCTTGTGAAATAGCTTGGAACTTCCGATAACTTCCGTAGACGGCCTACTGTGCTCCTGATTCCTGATTCATGTCTGGCGGCATTAAAGTACTCCATTTCTGGCCGATGACGGCTGCACATGCAGATGAAGGAAGGAAGCGAATCAGGCAGCAAACCAATACCACAGAAAGCAGCACCAGATTCAGCGGCTTTGGACGCACACTGGCAAGCACACATGCGTCGCGAAAAGAGTCACAGCACGAACAGTCAGCAGCGAGCAACAACTACAGAGCCGACCCAAGCTCCTGACTCTGTGACGATGCACAAGTTCGGCGGCTGCAAACACCTGCGGCTCTAAGGGCTTCAGCTCAAAAGCGAGGTTCTGTCAACAGTCATCATCATGCAGTGGGCTGTGCAGAAGCCGTGGACTCCGGGAAATGCACGCTCCAATGAAACCCACCAGCCGCGGATGGCTAAGACCTTGAAGTGCATACTTTGGCTCAAGGAAAACCGTTGCCTGAACTTGAAGGCCCTTCAAGGCTGAGGTTAGGCTGCCGGCTTCGAAGCGCAACTACCTCGAGAAGGGGCGAAGCTGCGCTGCTCAATGTTGCAGTGCACAAACAGGCCTCCTTCTCCAGCTCCTCCAGCTGCAGTGGCGAAATGTTGCCTCGGAAACACCGCAATGTTGAATTGGGCCTGCGCAAACTCCGGAGGAGCAACTGATTGGGCCTCCATCCTCACAGAAAAGCTTCTTGATTGCCACCTGCACATGCTCGGGTGCTGCTGCCTCATTACTCTTGGACATCCGTCCATTTGTGAAGATGTGATCGAGAAAAACTACCTGGGGACGTCGGTTCCCAAAGATGTCATTCTCCGATGTCCGTCTGCCAAGGCAGTTCCCCAGACCGCTGGGTCAACGGAAAGCTTGCAAAAGTGCTCCTCCGCCAAACGAGCTACTCAGTGTGCAACGTCACCAGCGGCTTCAACCGCTTACTGAGGCTTACTATCTTCTTGGGCATACAGCAGAATCAGCGGTCGCAAAATCATCGTTTCCAAGCGGAGCAGCAAGCCGATGGGGCTGGGGGATCATGATGTTTTTGAAAGTCTTGTCCCGGCCTGGTAGGCATTCGAGACCTTTTACCCCAAGACTCGGAACATAACACACTCTCGACCTGAATCACACCCCGGAAACAAATGCATGCAGAGTTCGAACACAACCTTCTTGTCATGTACAGTCTGATTGTCATATCTGTCTCCAGCATCACACCGATTCTGTTCTCAACTCTGCTGCAGCGACTTCCGGCCTCGCGAGTTTCAAAAATCCCTCGGTACACAGCTCCGAAACCGCCGGATCCCAGGCAATCCTTCTGCGTTAGCCTTGGAAAGCAAAGCTGCTATGCACGCAAAACATCGCAAAACGCTAAAGAAACTTGGCTGCAAGCTTCGCAAAATCAATCATCTCGTGCTTCGCTAGCAGGATCTTGCCTCCTAAAGAGTAGGGCAACTTGCACGTTAACCGCAGTTGCGACGCAGCAAAAGGTCCGTCCTTGATCTAACTGGCCGGTACTTCGAGCATCCTTTGCATCGGTCGTAGAAATCCTCCCATGGAAAGGCAGCCTGAGGGCCTGAGCCCAACCCTGCGCCCTTTGCCCACGGCCATCCCTCCCAGCGGTCCATGCGCGTCTCTCCGGTCCGGGTCCGGCTGCCTCTGTGCCACTGGTAGCCTGGATAGCCAGAGGAAAGATCGCTCTTGATCGACAGGAACACAGGCTCTGAGGTGCATTTAGGCAAGGCTCCCAAGCACGACGATCTGTGACCTGATAGTGACTAGTTGCTTGCCTTGCATCTTCAAACTGTGCAACCTTGTGACCTTGTTCGCTGTGTTTTGGATGCAGACCGGAGAAGACACGGCTTCACCCTTTACTTTCTTTGCCTGTGCACGGGTTGCTGCTTGGAGCAAATGCTCACGCGCTGCATCGTGGCACCTGGCTCTCTGGTGAAGAAGCAGTGAACCTCGGGAAGCAATGACCGCAGTAAATTGATGCCCGGGAAAAATCCCACTGACTGTTTGACCCCTGTATTGCATCAGGGAGCTGCTCTCTCGCAGGGCTCTGCCCCGACTCCGGCGAACTGCCCTTTCCTCGCAGGGCGCAGGTGCTGAACTCCAGAGTCCGAAAAGCACTCCACGGTGTCAAGTCCTGCTGACGGGTCTCGAAGGCCCATTTCCAACTCCTGCCAATGAAAAACGTCTTGCCGGACAAATTCCTTGTTTCCACAGCACCGGACTTCATACATCGTCCCATTGTGCTGATCCAAGGCAAGCCTTGATGGCTTAAGCGGGTCTGGCACTGTTTTTCACAAATCACGACGTCTACAGCCATTTTTGATGCAACATAATTCCCTTGTAGGCGAGCCTATCTCATGATGGGATTCATTTTGGCAGCAAGTTCTGCCTGTTCTTTCTCCGCTCTCACTGTCTCTTGCCTTACTGCTCCGACGTGTTAAAAGTCCTTCGCCATCAGCTCAACCAACTGCCATGCCTTGAGCAGCCCAGCTGACATGCGAAGACGCATCTGAGACCCAGTCAACTCATGCCTGTGCAAGGGTGACATCCAGGTCTGACATGGAACGAAGCTTGCCAACGAGACCTTCGCACTCACCTGCCGAGGAGCAAGAAACATGTGAGCGCGGAACGGGCATGTGCATGTGAGACTTGCCTTGCCTTTGACTATGCTGTCTTTCCCGGAGCTGCACAGACTTTCGAAGTTCCTGGTACAATGCCGTTCCACTGGCTCTCGTCTGAAGCCCTGGCATCAGGCCTGTGGTTTTTGCGAGCTTCTGCAAGCTGGTAAAGAGCGCCGTCCATGTCCTGCATACTTCGTCGAGCAAAGCATATCGACAGCCGCGCTCCTGACCTGTTGCCCCATCATGGCCAATGCCATGTAGATCCGGGCTGACCCTTTGACAGAACCTGACAAGGAAACCCGGCCAATGTGAGAGTGAACCACGGAAAGCATCTCAGGGATCTGGCGAGGCAGAGCAACAGTGCCACATCGTTGCTGCAAAGCCCGCTGGAATAGATGAATCGCCTGCAGTCGGCAAAAAGCTGTAAACGGCCCAATGATCAAAGCCCTCGCTGGCCAACCTCCTGCAGGTCCGCTGCCAAGAGTTTGCAGTAGCCGAGGCGAACCAGAGCAAGCGCCTGTTTGAAGTCATGCCCAGAAACTGGCTCTATTGTTCATGCTTATTTTCGGGGTGCGCGGCGTGATTCTTTTCAACCGCCAGGGCTTTCCGATAAGAGGTCTCAGCCTGCACACGAACCGAGGTGCATTTTGCAGCAGCAGCTGCAAAGTAGCACCTGCTCCAGTTCCTTCATCTGCATGTGGATGAGACCCTGCGTGATGAGAGAAGAAACCTCCACAGGCCAGGCAATGCTACACCGCTACGCAACACGAACAGAACGCGATTCGACAGTCGAAAGTAACCACATTCCAAGGGTCCCACATGCGATGGCTCCTGCTTCAAGGCCAGGCAAAGCCTAAGAAACTACAGCGGGGCAAAGATTCCACGAACGCCGCTTGACAAAGCTGTGCTCTCGCACTCGGCCAAAGCGTTCGTGTACTCACCCTTTCGCTCGTACGCCTCCCAAGGAAGCCGGGTGCGACGGACCCCAACGATGCCGAGAAGAATTCCACTAGAAGTGGCGAAGACATGATGATTTGATATGTGGGTTTGCCATGGTTTGCCAGTACTGTTCCCTGACATGTGTCTACGTGTGTAACCCTGTTACTGAAGGATATTCGAGAATCAATGCAGGGGCATCGTGGCACGCAAGTCCTACCACATGCAACGAAGCTGTGGGCAGTAATGGGAATCGCGAATTGATCAGTCTCGTGTGCCTGCAAAGAGTCACACGGGATCACACGGGTGACAGTGTGTGCATGTGTGTGTGTGTGTGTGCATAGGTGTGTGTGTGTGTGTGCATAGGTGTGTGTGTGTGTGCATAGGTGTGTGTGTGTGTGCGCGCGCACGGGTGTGGGTGTGTGT